TGTCGCCGTGTGGGGGGGGGGGGGAATGGGAAAGCAACGTTTATCCTGGCAGGGAAGAGGCTGCTTTTCTGAACATGCCTTAACACAGGGTCTCCTCTGTTTGAGCCCTGGCCTTCTGCCAAATTCCGAAGTCTTTCTTCAAGAGAGCAGTAGGAAGAGGGCTGGGCTTCCTCCCTATCTGACACTACCCAGCAGTAAATCTGTGAAGCCTTCCAAGATGGTGGATGCTTAACTCTGCCCTCTTGACTGCTGGGCTTCCCCACTGAGTCAGGGGCTCTTTATCTCTGCAGTAGACAAGATTGTCTTCCTCAGTGTTCCTCCATTGACTTTAGCGAGGTACTGGGGTGGCTGTTTCGTTGGAATCCCACACGAAGGTGGTGCCTGCAACAGTGCTGCAGTGATCCTTGCTGCTTTGATCTTCTCTCCCTCCAGAGTACCCTGGCAACTGGCAGCTTCATGCTTTGCTTAGGCATAGTTGCTCATCATGCATCATGAATTAGTGCCTTGAAAATCCTGTCTTGAGAGTTCAAAGCTGTATACTTGGTTTAGGGAATTGGCAGAGGCATTACTGGACAGCACTGCTGCTTAAAATGCAGAGGAGCTCACATACGCCAGGGTGCGTAGCTCTGAGTTGGGGCAGAGTGCGAGCAGTATCCGGGCAGCACTGGGTAAGAGTCTCCTCTCCCTACCATAGGAGCAGAAGATCTCTGCCCTGGCTTGGCTACAAGATTGTTCTGCTTGTGTCCCTCCAGAGGGGCTGTCTAGATGAAACCCAAGGCCAGACCTCACTTTTTGGCCGTGCGTTTGTCTGAATTCATGCTGATATAAACACAGTTGTCCTGTTGGATGCATCTCAGCTCAGAAAGCCCAGCTCTCGCTCACACATGCATCTCCTACGCTGGAATCCTGCTGCTGGAGCATGGCTAATCAGAGGGGTTAGGTTGTCACTCTGCCATGTGCACACCCCACAGTGCTAGTTTTTTAAACTTGAATGCTGCAGACTAGCTGGCAGGAAGTTAATGGCCTACTTGCTCAGCAATCCCTCCTCCCCCACCAAGAAGACATAGCACTCCTGTTGGTGGCCTAGCCTTAAAAGCACAGCATCCTTTGAGCTTGCATGATGGAGATGATGCTGTTGGCAGAGCCCTTCCCGCTCACCTTTGCTGTAGTCCTGGCTCAGCGGCCTGTTATTCCAATACTACACACAGAAGGAAAACACTGCGCTGCTGTTCTCCGCATCCCCCCCGCCCTCATGGGAGGACTGCCCTTTTTTTGCTGCAAAGAAGGGCTAACTGATATGCAAGACTGCCAAAAATCTCACGTAGGTGTGTCAGAAGGGTCGCTGTTCCCTCCATCTGCTGTGCCTGTGTAACTTCAGTATTTCTCCAAGCAATCAACTTGGCAAAGAAGCCACACCCAACTCTGGTTGTCGTTCATGCTGAACGTGTCCTGGGGGATCAGGACTTGTGGGCCTGATGTTCCTCTGATACTGACTCAGTGCAAGCAGCTCTGCAGCAGTCCTTGCCTAGGTCTGCCTAGCAGTCACACGCTTGAGTAGTGCTCGGGCACTGGTGGCTCTGAACAGGAGCCATAAAGCCTTTAACTCCTGGTAACAACCCTAAGAACCTCCCTAGCAGATTTCTCAACAGTAACTTGATCCTCGCCTTTCCATTCAGAGTAAGTTGTTTGATACCTCTGGGGCTAACTTCTTGCTTGGAAAAAGTTAGCAAGTGGCAGGCAGAGCTGCTCTGAGTTTCACAACAAGCCAGTGATCTGTTCTTGGCGTTCCTTACCGCTCCATCTGGTAGCTGCCTACTACATTAATGAAATGATCTTTCCAAGTTTGGGGGGGGGGGCAGGGAGGGGAAGAGGAACAACTGTGTTGCTGGGATGGAGTCCAGGTGTTTATCCAATGCTTTATTTGTGCTGAGTTTCTGGATGAGAATAACTGTCTTTCTGTCTCCGTGTACACGCTTTGCATACCGTGGCGCTCTGAACAGACACTGCTCTTTGTCTCAGTGTAAATGA